CATATTCAATCCAATAAAGCATTCCGGTAAAGCTGAAATGCAGAAGAATACGGGGAAGAAGAAAACGGAAGTCACCATGTTAAAGCATAGCGATTACCGTTTTCTACTTCCCCGCATTCTTCTGCATTTCAGCTTTACCGGAACGCTTTATTTCGCGGTACCGTTTTATACAGAAGGAGTCCGAAGATCGGGCAGTCCGAATGTTGCCAGCGGTACAGTCCGAAACCACATCCCGGACTTGCCGAAATTAGCACAGAAAAACAATAAAATAAGCAAGATTTCGGTGCATTCCGAAACGCGCTGCCCGGGCGCCTTTCGGACTAGTTTGTGCCCGGGATTGCCCGAAATATGTGCAGCTCCGCTTCACACCACCGGCAACTCGGTTCAGCAGGGAGCGGGCATAGCTTGGCCTGCCGGCGGCGTTTGACAAGGGAACCTTTTCAGGTGTAAATCTCCGATTTCGTTGGTACTCAGAAAATTAAAAGGTTATTATAATAGAATTCGGATGGCACTTGAAATTTTTCCTAAACTTAACATTTACTAGGGGTTTTCTTAAGCCTGACACTGTTTTTTGCTCCCAGTATCCCTCTACCGCTTTAACGGTTCAAAATAGAGCAAAACGGACAAAATTTTGGCCCTAAGGGCACTACTTTCACGAGTTACTCTTAGGCTAGAACACTGCTTTACATTTTTCAAGAAAATATTTTTTTCTAACACCTTACTCCTACCTTATATAGGGAAAAACTAAATGTCAGATGTGCCATCCGGTTTCTACATAAATAACCTTTAAATTTTCCAAGTTTCAACGAAATCGGAGATTTACACCTGAAAAGGTTCCCTTGTGAGACGGGCCTTCGGCCCGTGCCCTCTGACTTTTCCCGGTGTAATATAGCTTTTTTCGGAAAACGGGCCCATGTACGCATCTTTTAAAGTGTACATACAACTATTAGTATACATGCCATGTACACATCTTTTAATGTGTACATGCTTATGTACACATTTATAAATGTGTACATGGGCATGTACACATTAATTAAAGCATACATGCCATGCACAGTTAAAGTCTTACGAAGCAAAATGCCAAATGCTTCTTACCTACGAAGGATTTGCTCCCTACGAAGCGTCCGAATCCTTCGTATTACAAAGGATTTTGCATTTTTCTTCGTAAGACTTTAACAGTGTGTACACTTTCTTTAATGTGTACTATGTACACATTTGAGTTGACAGAGACCTTTGCTGTCTACTTCGTTATCAAAACTCAACAGACGAAGTATTCTTTTCATGCGCTGAGCAGCTTTGGCCGTGTGTGCCGCAGTTTGTAGAATACGTGCAAGTTATGCCAAATCCCTTCTAAGTTATTGATATATCTTATGGATCCAATAAGACACCTATGAAAAGATCTATAAGACTTGACCCAGATGAAGTTAAATATACCTTCAGGCATACTCTGAAATGACTCCAAACGTGTTCGCAATGATTTCGCTATAATTACTAATAGAAAGGAAGCAGCTTGTGAAGTACAACAAAACAACGAAATAAATGTTGTTGTTTTTTAGCATGGGAGTGTACACATTTTATTAATGATGTGCCACCATAAAATAAGCCCACTTTTCTGCTTAGAAGAAAATTTTGAACCGATGGCATACTTTTCAGACAAAAGTTACTCCTATGAAAAAAAAATCTGTTTTGGTTATTTTGGTACGAAAAATTCCCTTTTGTCAGTAAACAGTGAAAGCGAAATGGACGACATTTTATCCCAGAGGATTCTTCGTCCACCTTTGGAGACCACCGATTTCTTTCTTAAAATAGTATATTTTTTTAAGCTACTTTTGTGAGAGAAACTCCCTCTAGCTCCTAAACGGTGAGTGATAGAGCCAAACGGACGAAATTTTTGGTTTAAAGCAGGGGTCGCAAACTCGCGGGTCCCGAGCCAAGCGCGGCTCGCCTAGCCCGGAGAGCCGCGCACCTCTTGCGTTCGGGTGGACCCGAGGTCGCCGAGAGCCGCGCTCGGGTGGCTCGGAGCTGAGCTGGACCCAGCCGTCGTCGTCTGTCGCTGGACACACGCCGCTCGCTCGCTGGCCCAGAGTGTGTGTCTGTCTTTGTCGCACTCATTGAGGTGCCATTGGGAGTGACAAAGACAGACACACTGGCCGACGACCGAGCGCACAGCGAAGCTAGCCGGCGGTGACAGCAGTGCGGCCGGGCACGGGTCAGTCGCTGAGGCACCTGAGGCACCACTACATCTATCTCTCTCACTCTTTTTGCCGAAGAGCTCGCAATGCGTGTGGCCTATGCAGGCGAGGCTCGGCGGATAGCTCGAGTTTGCGACCCCTGGTTTAAAGGGCTCCACCCGAGGCAAAGTAATAGTTTGAATGTTGTCTGGAACCTTGTCGATGTTGACGGTTAATTCGTAGATAAAAGGCAGTTAAACGGCAGCTCATCGACAGACAATTAACCGTTTGTCTGCAACGGATCAAGAAGAAGAAAAGAAGAAGTTTGTGTCACGAACATGGCGGCCGGCCCATAAGAATACATGGGCTGGCCGCCATGTTCGTGACACAAACTTCTTCTTTTCTTCTTCTTGATCCGTTGCAGACAGACGCTTAATCGGCAGTCTATCAGCCAAACCGTAGTTAAATGGCAGACAATTCTCTCTGTCAAACGGCTGACAACACTGAAAAACAGTAGGTAGGTTTACAGGAAAATTTTCCGGTACGCAAGTTGTCAAATTACAATTTGTAATCGTAAAAATACTGCAGTATGTATCGACTTCATATCCCTTCGCGAGTAAAAAATGTGCTGTCGTAAATTTACAACTTAAATTATAATTCGAGTTTACAGAAAAAAAAAATTACAACGATATTTTTCACAGTGAAACGGCGGACAAACCACAGCCAAACCGCAGTCCTCAGCCCATTCTCCGCCCAGTTCGACTGCCGTTTGTCTGAGGATCGACTTACGCTCTCAGACAATCTTCAGTCCTCTGTACGAAATGAAAACAATCGACTCGGCCGGGCAGCCGCCGGCCCGGCCCGGTACCGAATCCCGGCCCCCGGAATGGGAGTCGGAGTGCTTGCTCCCTTGGCCAGAGAGAGCTCGCTGGGAGAGGAGCTCGGCGGAGGCACGAGCTGGAGCAGGATGGCGGCGGCCAAACCAAGATGGCGTTGCAGCTATTTTAATTAATATAAAGCAGTATCTGTATTATATTGTTTCGACCAGCTTGAAATAATAAGTCTATCGGAAGCATCATAGCGTGCAAAATCTAATTCTGTACTTCTTACCAATCGATGCTTTTCTAATACAACGATTTCAATGGATCAAGATGACCCTACGCACGAGAGCGTTCCGCACAGTTTTGCGAAGATAACCCCATCTGGCTCTGTAGTGAGCTGTCTCCACCGGGCTCCTCTCCCAGCGAACTCTCTCCAGCCAAGGGAGGAAGCACTCCGACTCCCATTCCGGGGGGCCGGGGTTCGGTACCGTGCCGGGCCGGCGGCTGCCCGGCCGAGTCGATTGTTTTCATTTTCATCCCGTACAGAGGACTGAAGATTGTCTGAGAGCGTAAAGTCGATTCTCAGACCAACGGCAATCAATTCTCAGTCAAACTGGACTGAGGATGGGCTGAGGATAGACTGCGGTTTGGCTGTGGTTTGTCCGCCGTTTGACAGAGAGAATTGTCTGCCGTTTGATTACGGTTTTGCTACCGATAGACTGCCGTTTGTCTGCCGATGAGCTGCCGTTTAACTGCCTTTTCTCTACGAATTAACCGTCGCCATCGACAAGGTTACAGACAACATTCAGACTATAACTTTGCCTCGGGCAAGACATAATGCGTAAAAGGTTGACGTATGCATTTCATATTTGACTAATATAGCTGCTTGGTTTCAACATTTTGTTTAAGAAATATAAAAGTCTAGAACGTGCTATGCCAGCCCGAGGCCATGCCGTGTCGACAGAAGATGATAGTCGGCTCACTCGGACTGTCGTCGGGCTGTCCGGTTCCCACCGGACTTATTTCGGTCTGTCTGCGGGCAGTACGGTTGCGACCGAACTCCTTTCGGACTACCTAGCTACCTCGGGCTTAAATCGGGCAGTCCTCGGTCGGACTCCTAGCGGACTGCCCTGGAATACATCCGGGCCTGTCCGAAGGCAATCGGACAGACTTTGTAACTGCCCAGGAGAAGTTTCCGTACAATTTCATTTCATAAGGGCGATGTGGTTTTTCTTTTGCGTATTATACTGTACACCTAAACTAGGTATTACAAATAGTGCAATACCTAGAGTAGGACAATATGCTCTAAGATGGTAGTTTTGCTTGAAAAGGCCTGTTTAATACCGGCTTAATACCGCGTGAAACACGTAATAAACTGTACACAAAAATTCTGAGTGAAAGACTGTCGGTTCTACGTGTGCATGGCCACGTACTCGCCATCTCCTGCATACATCATCATGCACTCACTGCCTCCTGCAAATGTAGGTATTCAGGAGATAACACATAAATGTTCACATTTTTGGTTTTCTGGAGTACGAGGAACTAGATCTTATTAAAATGCTTCAACATTCTGTACAATCTTTAAATAAAATCGTCTGCAATCGCGCTTAATGTGTTTGTATAATTTGAATGTGTTATTTTGCAAATGTTCGCGCTCACTTATAGACACGTTTCATTGTGGACGAATTTATGCGCAAAAATGCATGATTTCGTTTAAAGGAATGCATTAAAAAGTTCAAAGTAGCGCATAAACGCAACTAACGCAAAAAATGATTGCTTAAATCCACGGTGGCTTTCACTTGCGTAAGACACTACACCTAAACTAGGTATTACGCGCCAAGGTGAGGGCGAGCTTGGTCGCGATGAGCGCCTGCTAGTCGGCCGCTAGGCAGCCCATCTGACACTAGCCCCCACGCCCATGCCAGCCCGGCCCGGCGCGGCCAGCCCTGGCCTACGGCCGCCGCGCGGCCAGGCCACCCGTCTCACCTTCGCGCTCGTTGTGTTGCAGTTCCTCGCAAGTACCAGCCGGGCGTGCTGCACAGCCGCAGACTGGGCACCGCGCTGGCTGCCCTGGTGAGCCTCCTGGGTGCGCTCGTGACAGCCGTGGCCGTCTGGCTGCTGCTCTGGGCGCCGCACCTGCCGTCCAGGGACGTGCCCGTCTACAGCGGCCCACCCGTGAGTAACTAGTAGAAGTAGTGGAGACACTCGGTGGGAGCACGTGCACACTAAATGGGGAGGGACAATTTCTGTACGCAGGCTGGATGTGGCCTTGTGGAAGAGATAGACAAATTTGTATCAGATAGCTAACGTAGGTACCAAAATTGTCCCTAGGCCTACCCATTTAGAGAGTGACGCATGGGACTCTCACCCACACACCGCGTAATGAAGATGATATCACTCAGCGTCGCACCAGCAAGGGGTACACTGTAATTTGAAGTGTGATATTTTTCACACATTTTCGTGTGATAGAACGCCCCGTGTGATTCCCACGATTTATCACTCCTGTCGAAGGGGTCAGTTTTTATCGCAAATTTTATGTGATGGCTATTGCAAAATAATGCTATGATTCTGGATTTCCAACAGAACGGTGTGAATGCACATCGCACAAAACTTTGATACATATAAGTATCGCTCAAATGAGTGATGGTCATCACAAATATAAGCAATGACTTTAATGTTGTACTTTTCCTGCGATGATCATCACAACATCGTGCAATATTTCTCTAACACAGAAAACGTGTAGTCGGTATCACACTCTGATTTACAGTGTATATTTCTAGATGTATTCTGCACCTAACCTACAACGTGATGGCCGATAGGTCTTGGTTGTTTAGGCGGTTCCCTAAGGGAACAAAAAGGGTCAGTTTTAGCCTCATAAACCCGACTTTGACCCCTTCTGGCCGCTACAAGTGCTGCCGATCGGCCCACTGTAAAAGATGTTCGGATTTTTACCATACAACTGTGTGGGAAAAATCCCGTACGCGTCTGGGACGCGAAATTTCCCACACATGTGTGGGATTTTTCCCATACATGCTATTGGTGTGTCGGAAGAGTACAACACGTATGTGAAAAATCCCACACTCTTGTGGCAAAATGCCTAAGCGTGTTCAGGACAGGTTTTTTCCTAGACAGTATGGGAATTTTTCTATTTTTACCTAAGAAATTTTCTTCAACATGTTGGTTAGTTTACATTTTCACGCTCTCTGTCGCTTCTTATAGAGTCCCACCCTGCGGGCGTCCAGGGCCAGGGGCGTCCACCAATCGTTTTCTCACACAGCCCGGGCTAGAGTTGCTTGAGGACTCATGCAGGAAGTACGTCCGTCATTCACCGATACCGAGTCACCCTCAGCGAGCTCTCATAGCGCCTGGTAGATAGGCAACATCTTGTGTGCAGTGCATGGGTGTACTGCGGGGCGGCCTGCCCTGAGTCTCGCAGGCGCCGAGCTCCCGTGATTTGCCGGATTTGCCAAATGAATCAGAGAAAAGCGGACGTACTTTCTGGACGCTTAGTCGTGGATAGGGGGGTCAGAGGCACGGGTTGAAAGTTGGCTATGTACAGAAACCTTCTGGGTTTTCTTCTGGAGGGGGGAGGATGGAAGTCCAACATTACCACTTTTGCCTGTTGGCGCCTAATGCTGACGAAGGGGAGGGGGGAGGGGTAGGGCATCAGTCGGCGCCCGACCTGATCGACCTGACCGACCTGAACCCCGACCCCCGACCCCGAGCGAAGTCAGTCAGTCTGTCTGCTATCGTAGGTCCAGCGTGCAGCGTGGCCGGTGTGCTGCCACCGTTGATACAGCCATGTTTTACTGCAAGTTTTGCGTTTTTAACTCATTGACAATCAAGAACCATCTTGCTCATCTTAAATATCATAGCAGCAGCCTGCAAAAGAATATACCATGTGGCTTTAATCGTTGCATAGAGTCATTTCCAAATAAGATTGGATTTCGAGTCCATTTGATTAGGAAGCACAACTTTAGAGCCAAGGCAGGTGCCCACCCACAGCAGACTGCAGTTAATGAAAATGCTTCCTACAAGTGCACTGTTGAAAGTTGTGGTGAGAAGTTTTACGCAACAGATCTGCT